CGCATGCATTATAATATAAGATGATTGAATAAGTAAACGCAGTGGTAAAAGACATCAATCTTGAGTAGTTTAAGAAAGAATACGATAGTGAAGTACCTTTACTACGTCCATACCTCCATCGATTTCTCTGTTGACCACTAGATGAGTATCATCTGCCTTCTCGACCTTAAAAAATAGACTTCAACACAAGAAAACACATCTCCATCAAAATAAAATCCGAATGCAATAGAGAAGCGATTCATTCGATAAATGTAGTAAATAGACAAAATTTGGGTTTTTGAGCAGCAGAAATATATTACATACCTTGCTAGCGAAAAGGGCCTGAGGCCATTCCAACAGGCCAGCAAGAATTTGTGGCGTCTGGCCAGCATCGTCATCTATTGCCTTAAAAAGAAAGATATCCAAACAGCATTGAGGCATCTAATTCTTATTTAGATCACCTGTTTTCCCAAGAAAACTACATCAAATTTCTCCTTCTCCACAATCTTCTTAAACGCTCTCGCCACGTGTAGAGGTTCCAACATCGGTACGTCAGCATCCGCAATCTGGATTTAAGCATTTCAGGTGAACGATCAAGGAATCATTTTCGTGAATACCTCAATATGTATAGCCTTATCTGCACCTTTGGCAAGAGCATTTCGTAGAACTTCTTGACATTTAGGCCCTCCCATTGAGACGGCAACAACCTAATGAAAGCGTTTAGTGGCAATCATCAATTAGGGTAAATATGGCTCACCTCCTTTGCTATCTTCTTTTCCTTCATTCTAACAGCTTCTTCTAGAGCGATCTCATCAAATGGGTTCATACTGTGCTGGACATTTTCCGTAACAACTCCCGTTTTGTCTGGCTTCACCCGAACCTAAATTCGGACTTCTTTACTGATAGTAATAATTTCAAGAGTTAATTACCTATTTTTCCAAAACACTAAGGCAAATCTTAAAAACGTGCAGACCGAAAAACTCTAGAAGCAAAGAAAAGACAAAACCATATTTCAAAAAAAAAAAAACAAACAACAGAGATGATATAATAGTTGTAGAGCGAGTATGATTTCCCTTTTTACTTCTTTGAAGTTTTAAGTAAATATGAACAACTGAGTGCAGGTGGAAGTTCAAGCTACCTTCGATAAAAACGAGGACATGGTAATTACATTGTCTTATGCTATTCTAACTATTTCGATAAATTCAAAGATGCAAAATAAATGCTTCACTAAATAGGCATTTACATAGTAGTAGAAAAAAAAACTTCTTTTAGAAAAATTGGAAAAGAAAACAGGTATAGAGTTTCGTACCTTGACGGCATAGTCGATTACTCGTTTCACTCCCACGAGCACCTTCATGTTGTACGCCTCTAAAGTGAATAAATCTTAAACCTGAGTGGCAGACATTATTAAAGATGAAAAAGTTATCGAACTTTAGGGAAAACGGTTTTTTAAAGGTTGGATGTAATTCTCTTTTCTTTTACCCACTAATTGATTATGTACCGCTGTCAGGGTCAATGTACAAAGTACACAACCTCTTTGAGCGAGGAGTGCAGCAGTGGGTGAGGCTATGAAAAGACTTTTTCTTGGCGAAGTTCTAGAGAGGATGCAATGCTTTTAAACATTTTACAACTAAAGTGTCAATCGAG